ATTTCTTGAGGCCATGCACTCCGATGATTCATGCATCAACCGGCGTATCGAGATAGCTGGAGTGTAAAAACACCTCAAAGGAAGGTGGAAGAGACTGCAGCCGAGGAACTTTGACCAACATGAACCGGAATTAGAGTCCACACCGGATGTCCTGGATTGACCCCGGACTGACTCAAATTACAGTGACCAATTAGCCATTACGCCATTGCGACTGCTAATCATGTCCACCACGAGGTGACGCAAATTGTAACTCCCAAGTAACGACTACTACAAATGACTATATAATTGTGTCAGCATTTTTAAATGCTTACTGTTCTTTGCACATTACTCTCAAGTCTGACGACGACCGGGGGATCCAGTGTCGAAAATTTACTGAATAAACTTACTAATTTTCCCAAAGGACGCCTTTCCTTGAAAAAATATACTACATTGCAAGCGAAAAGACATAGAGAGCGTTCCTAAATGGTTAGGAAATTTGACTTCGAATCAATAGATTGTTAATCAGAACCACAAGTGTTGCGAAACGTGTAAGTAGGGATCACTGGCTAATGACGGATAATAAATAAGAAATGCACATTTCGGTGGCATCATGCTGCTTCCGGTGATTTTGGCTTAGTAGCTACAATATAATAGTCTCCGTGCGTCTCCTAATTCATGAACTGTTCGGTCGCTTTGACTGGCGGACAAGATACAGCATCATGTATACTTCCCACTCGGTAAGTTGACCGACAGCAGATTTCCTTAAAATTCGGAAGACGAAGTCGGATGGTTTGAAACCCTAGTATATACAGACTAGGATGAAGACTGTAAACACCGTGGAAATATTAATTGCCAAGGTCAATGCGAAAATTTCGGGTGAAAAAGCTGTCATTTTCGGTTGTTGGTATGTGGACTAATGAAACACACGCTACTCAATTTTATATTATTAGTAAACCGTATTTCCTGTATTTTTGCCTCATAAATGTGTCCTTGAGAAATAAAATGCCAACCCGGCACGTGCCAAACATCCATGCACCCAATATCTGGGAATCCCATTTAAAAATTGATAGGTTAGGGCCCATATGGGCCCTAAGCTGTACATATGGATGACAGATTAATGCTTCCCAGCAGATACTACTGGAACCCGCTTTCGGGCCAAACGTCCTCCCTATGATAGAGCGGTCCGTCCACGAGAGTACACAGGCACTACGTAATCTTGACGTTTTCACGTATGCGCAAGTAATCTTGCCAAGGTATTATCTTCAAATCAGAGTCGGCCACTGACTGGGTTTTGGTCCAACAGTGTGCTGCTGCACATCATAGAGGCTTCCTAGTTGTATCTTACTCTTTGTGAATAGCACTTCGATGAGTAAAATTCACCCACAGCTAAAGCTCATACAGGATCTACCGTGTGCGTTGTGCTTGACACGTAAAATAAGATGAATTTGTTTTCTGTTATGTTAATAAAATTACAGTAGGAATTAATTGCTTGCCTTTTTAACAGGACACCGAACTAAGAACACACTGCCCACGCACCAGGTCTGGCCCTGCATTCAATTTCAGGATGAATAGATATTCCAGTGTTCTACCTCGAACTCCGGCCCTGAACTTAACCCTAATCCAAGATTATATTTCTGGTTAATACGAACAG